TTCTTGACCTGTCATCTACACTAGAGTCTTCATTTTATCGTTTGATGGTACGATAAACGAATCTTTTGGTTATATTCAAATTTTACAGTATGTTAAAAATTTGAATTGGCGCGTAACCGCAACGATGCAACGCAATAACTGCAACACGGTCTTCTTTAAGCGTCCACTCCATATTTAAAAATGAGTAAAATTCTAAAAGTATACATTTTTATTTTCATCAACAATTCGAAATTCGAATTCAATAAACTTTTTTGTGGCCAGCATTCTAAAAGAAAAGTTTTTACTGTGTGACAATACTTATGACCTGACTAGTTATATATATAACTAGCATCCAGCCCTCGCTTCGCTTCGGAAACTGTAATTTTTTATTGATTTTTCCAGTATTTAATGGATGTTATTATACATATAAACCTTTCTCTTCAATTTATCTATTAAAAAAAACCGCATCAAAATCCGTTGCGTAGTTTTAAAGATTTATGCATACATAGGGATATAGGGACAGAGAAAGCGACTTTGTTTTATACTATGTAATGATTATAATATACAGTAATTGTTTGGTGTCAAAACTCACTCGGACCAGGTCGAAATACTCCATCGTTTCCACCTCAGGGCATTGCCCGAACTGCAGAACCTGCCCTCCGCTGGTATTCACTAGCACCACGACGAGAAATAAGTTTACTACATTCATTCTTAACTATTTGATACAAAACCGTCTTGCTAAATGTTCTGAATGATAAATGAAAAGTTTTTATCTTACTCTTATTCTAAGATAAAAACGATATTTTTTGACAGATGAAACTGGTGTTTCGTTATTGCGATTGAATTTATTTATCTTTGGCGATTTTGTCGGCCGGTACTGTGAAACTGATAGAGATTGACCTAAATATAATACCTAAGATGTACCTACGCATATGTAGCGACTATGCCGGAGTACGAATCTTAAGCGACAATTTTTGTAAGTACTATATAATTTATGTATCTATTACTACTAGACAAATATTAATAAAGACAAATAATATTCAATATATTCTCAATTTGACTACCGACTTTAAGCAATAACAAAAGTTTGACGATAAACAAAGAGTATATGTGTGGGTGTGTGTCAAATACAGTCATGGTAGTGCGTGTAATGTTTTTTTATTAATTTAATGTATTTTCAATGCATAATTAACAAAAAATATTAACATTCTGCACTCCTCTATATTCTCTATAAATGTTGAAAATTTCATACTCCTCCGTCCACGCAATTTTCGTAAAAAGGGATACAAAGTTTTTGCTTCACGTATTAATATATAGATACTACTTAAAAAGTGTTGCCAGAATGATTACACGGTTTTGGAATATTTATTCGCTCGTTTCATTCTTATTCTTCGTTCCCTGTCTACAAATATCTTCTTTTTCCATACGTCATCTCTGCTCTGACACCGTTCTCTCGCATATCATCTTTCAAAAGTTCTTCTTCTTCTTCTTATCAGCCCACAGCCGTCCACTGCTGGACATAGGCCAGTTCAAAAGTTCATTCTGGTCTTTTAGGAGGCCCTTTCTTCACATCATTTACTTTCATAGCCAGAGAATAAATTCGTGTAAAATGAAAACTAAAAAATAGCAAACAGAACTAAACATTTAAATTATATTTTGTGATTCTTAGTCGCAATCGTCAGAGTAATTAAATTATTAAATTATCATTTTTTCTAATGAAATACGTACCTACGTAACAAATGTTCACGATTGACTTCCACGGTGAAGGAATAACGTCGTGTAATAAAAATCAAACCCGCCAAATTATAATTTGCGTAATTACTGGTGGTGGGACCTCTTGTGAGTCCGCACGGTTAGGTACCACCACCTTGCCTATTTCTGCCGTGAAGCAGTAATGCGTTTCGGTTTGAAGGGTAGGGCAGCCGTTGTAACTATACTTGAGACCTTAGAACTTATATCTCAAGGTGGTCGGCGGCATTTACGTTGTAGATGTCTATGGGCTCCAGTAACCACTTAAAATCAGGTGGGCCGTTAGTCCAACCCATTATGCAATAAATAAATAAAACAGAGACTTAACACACTGCTCAAAGCAGGCGGAGGCATTTACGGTTTTACGGCATTACGGCAGTTATTGATGTCTATGGACTCCCTTAAAAACCAATTAACAGCAGCTAGTAAAATTGGTGTGGGTCCTGTTTTAGGGCGATGGATTCCAAAGTGGTCTAGAAATTAATCAGAGGGAGAGAAATATGTTCCACTAAAACCATCACAAGTTTAAGACACACAAAAAGTTTGAGTAGCTCTGGCCTCTCGTATTGTTCGAAGTAACTCACTTATCATAAACTCTTTTTAACCGTGCGCGACAAATAGATGAATAACTCAATATCACGCCAACCGATTTTGATGATTATTGTTTTTAGTGTATATTAATTTGTTTTGGAATATCTTTTTTTTTTCTCTTTGAAGTCTGTTTTTGTTAAAGCATGTCTATTTATACAATTGTCCGGTAGCACACTTCAGTTGAACAGATGACAGTGCTTCTAAATATTTTTGGCACTTATTAATTAATGCCTCTTCGGTTGTCCTAAATGCCGTGACGCATGATGCGTCTGTCTATTTATTACCCTACTAATAAAATCATCATGGCCGAATTTATGGTACCATCATTTGTCATTGCGTCTATATTAAGACGAACAAATAACAAAAGCCGACCTCATTTTTTTGTTTCCCAAATTACCGTACTTATTGTATAGATCACGAGTAATTCAAACAAAAACGATTTCGTTTCCGATTCCTTAGTAAAAAAATGTGAGATTTTTGAGGATTTATTGTGTTATCGATTTTTTTGGGCTGCTCTAAATAATTCTTTTTGTTTTTGTTTGTTACCAATCGCAACATTTTGTTTGTTTTACTTACCTGCTTTTTTAAAAGGTTTGCAGACTGCAACGTCCCTGCTACGGCTACTTAGAAAACTTAATCTCAGGCATCAGGCAAGTAATAAGCTGTATGTACTCTTTGTTGGCGGAAGTATGATATAACGATCAGTAGGTACCATGGTCATGATAGTCCGTGTTACGCGCAATGTTCTTCTTCTTCTACGTACGCCTTTATACTACTACTAGCTTTTGCCCGCGACTTCGTCCGCGTGGAATAGTTCACAAATAATGCTTTATTTTAGAATAAATTTGGTCAGCATAAAAAACGTTATAGTGAGGCAACCTTAACATATAGACATAATTATGCTGTCGCGGACTTTTTTTTAGATCTTTTAAAGGGGAACAATTCTCTCATACATTTATTTGGCGAAACTTTAACCGTTTCCGCAGCGCACGTAGCGGAAGCTTTCGAAAAGGAAAAAAACCCCGATTTTGCAACATTATGTATTGGTGCTCCGTTTGTTTTAGTCTTAGCATAATGTTATATAGCCTATAGCCTTCCTCGATAAATGGGCTATCTAACACTGAAAGAATTATTCAATTCGGACCACTAGTTCCTGAGATTAGCGCGTTCAAACAAACAAACTTTTCAGCTTTATAATGTTAGTATAGATAGTCGGCACAATAAGTCCTCTTTTCCCATTCAGGCCTATCATACGTCTGCACTGGGATCCTTCACGCGTTGATGCGTTCCAACTTGAGATATTCGTAAATAGTTTTTTTTTTCTTCTTTTCAAATGAGCTCACGGCCGATCCGTAGAGAAATATCATTTGTTCCATTCTTTAAACCGAAACGCATGGCTGCTTCGCGGCAGCAATAGACAGGATCGTGGTAGCTATCCGTACGGGTTTACTTTACGCCATACCAGTAGAAAATCTCGGTCGCGACTTCGACTTTAAATTTCAAGGTTGAGTCTTTGACCTTCAAGATGACTACTTAGGTTGTAATCGTTGAGGACTTCAGTAGCAACTTGACCCCAACGTTGAACTTGTCCACCCAACTCTTCTTCAACCCGTGTCTCCCCAATGCTGAGTGTAGGTTTCCTCGAATGCACACCATACGGCTGTCTGGTGTAGTGGTAAGTGACATGGTCACTACACAAGGGGGTCGCGGGCTCGAATCCCGCCAAGGGAAGATATTTGTATGATAATTATAAATGTCTTTTCCAGGGTTATGGATGTATATTAAATATATGTATGTGTATAATAAAAATCTTACATTTATTTCCGTTATCTGGTACCTGTAACACAAGTTCTTTACGAACTTAGCACGGGACCAGTTAACGTGGCGTTATTGTTAGTAAATATTTATTATTATTGTTTATTCTCTTCGGTCTCTTGCCTTTCTCATCCAATCTTTACCAACTACTTTGACCAGGTCATCGGTCCACCTCGTTGGCTGTCTCCCCACGTTACAAGGTCCAGTACGAGGTCTCCACTCCAGTACTTTTGTGCCCCACCGATGGTCAGTGCGACAGCATATGTGGGCGGCCCACTTCTACTTTTTCCGAGCCAACTAGATAAATGTTATTTTTAGTCTAATTTCGATAGAATTTCACGTGACCTTTATCGCATCTTCATACAGTCCGACAGGTGGATTGTAATCTTCTTTTCCCATTCACAAAAAAAAAAAATAGGTCTTACCGAACTGTGTTCCGTATCGATGCTCACAATTTCTCCTCAATTCTGCCGTGTAGCAGTAATGCGTTTCGGTTTGAAGTTTGGGGCAGCCGTTGTAACTATACTGAGACCTTAGAACTTATATTTCAAGGTGGGTGGCGCATTTACGTTGTAGATGTCTATGGGCTCCAGTAACCACTTAACACCAGGTGGGCTGTGAGCTCGTCCACCCAACTAGGCAATAAAAAAAAAATCATTTCAAATAGCAAAATTTTATTAAAAGACAAACTAAGCTTTAAATTTACGTGAGTAAAAACGAAATTCCTCTAACCCAATCTCCGACTGAACGCCAGTCGAGACTCAACAAAAAATACCTTTTATAAAACAACTTCTTGCTTAGGACGCTCAGTCAATGTCGGTATATGATCGCTACAAGTTCAATTTGTCGGCGTTATTTAACCCAAAATGTTGGTGTATAGTTTAGTATTTTTTTTAATTGTCAATAGTGACGCAGTGGTCAGGAATGAAACATGTCCTGTGGTGACCCCAAGAGAATTAAACTGGAAAGACGTAAGGATTTCTTTTACCACTTTGGGTCTACAAAAACCTTTTGTGTAACCACACGCGTAACACTATCGTAATGTATCTCACTTAATTTCTCGCCGGATCTTCTCAGTGGGTCGTGAATCTGATACGGTAGTAGATTCTGCGAAGCACTGCTCTTGTTAAGGCTTGGGTTAGCAAATTTTCTCAGGTTGAGCCTGTGATCTCACCTACCAGTCCAGGCGTAGCTGGAATAGCCTGTTAGGATATCAGATAATGGATGGGGGAAAAATGTAATCTATATATTAATACGTGAAGAACAAACATTGTATCCCTTTTTACGAAAATTGCGCGGACGGAGGAGTACGAAATTTTCCACACTTATAGAGAATATAGAGAAGAAGTGCACAATGCTTATATTTTTTTAAATAATGCATAAAATATACATTAAATCAATAAAGAAAACATTACACACACTACATACCATGTGTTTGACGCATACACGCATGCATACTATTTATTGTCAAACTTTTGTTCTTGACGTCTGTGGTCTAATTGAGAATAGATTAAATATTGTTTGTCTTTATTAATATTTTTTTATAGAGTAGCCTTGGCGAAATTTGTGATTACAGAAGTATAAAATACAATCATAATAGTGTACAAACTTACAATTCCAATTATAGTCGAATTTCGACTACTGCGGGACCTCTAGTATATGTAATTCTGCAACGAAGCAGTTCAAGTTTGAATCTAAAAATGTTGAGTACTCTCTTCATCCAATCAGAAATTTAGACTACAACAGTGACTGGAATTTTTTTTTTATATTGTATATATTTGTGTGTTTATAATTACTTTTAATCATTTATAGTTTTCGTGCTTTAATGTGATTATATTTAAATGGTAAGAATTTAAATCATATTTCAAAGATTTTATGTATGTGCTCATATGGACTGGTTTTTGAAATAAATGATTTTAATTTTAAGTTAAAGGTTAGGATAATCTTTGTACCTGTGGCGGTAGCCATCACAGAACACAAGATATTTGACAGATGCCTAAATCTCGCTATCGACTTTTTTTATTGCTACGATGGGTGGACGAGCTCACAGCCCACCTGGTGTTAAGCGGTTACTGGAGCCCATAGACATCTACAACCTAAATGCGTCACCCACCTTGAGATATAAGTTCTAAGGTTTCAAGTATATTTACAACGTTTGCCCCATCCTTCAAACCCAAACGTATTACTGCTTCACGGCAGAAATAGGCAGGTTGGTGGTACCTACCCGCGTGGACTCACAAGAGTAATTTTCCACCAGTAATTTTCAAGATAAGCTTCCATATATACAAGTTCCGAACAACAACATTTGGACCGTCGGTCTATCGAGCAATATCACCCATTCGGTGGAAGATCCCCTCCGTCGTTAAAGAATCCACACTGGTCACCTGCAACGGAACAATTGCAGCTTTCACACTTCACCATCAGCGCATCAAGAACTTAGGCTACCACAATCCCCGCACACTTCTTCCCACGATTCTCGCAGATAAAAGCAAGTAATCAACAGTCGTCCCGCAGTAAGCCAGCATCAGCAAGCTGGCTAATGTCCTCGCCGAACCCGTTGCTTGCGACGAAGGGCTGGGCAAGTAAATGAACCCACAGACCCAGACCACTGAGTTTCTCGCCGGATCTTCTCAGTGGGTCGCGATTCCGATCCGGTTGTAGATTCTGCGAAGCACTGCTCTTGCTAGGGCCAGCGTTAGCAACACCCTCGGTTTGAGCCCCGTGAGCTCACCCACACGTCAAGGAGAAGCTGAAATAGCCTCTCAAGGCTATCGGCATAGGCAGGGGAAAAAAAACAAATAAATCAAATTCTTGCAACATGGTAGATAGCGAAATTACCGTTGTGATGTCCACGAGCAGTAACCACTTACGCCAAGCAGGTCGTATATTATAAGCAATTTTTTTCACAGATGGACGGAACATGGTACGTGGCAGCGGTCGCCACAGACATGCAGGTCCAGGGTGACTGCGCGATGATAATCTTCGACCACCAGGAGACCCCGGACGTTTCCATCAGGTGGATCACCAACAACACCGCTTCCTTCTATAACGGCTCTGTGGCTCTGACTCCTGATCCAAACGGCAACAGTACAGGCGGTGATCTTTTACTGGTGACCTATAATGGTTAGTTTATTTGTTTATTATCACGTGCTCTGGTGTAATGAGCCAGGTTTGTTTTTTATTGCTTAGATGGGTGGACGAGCTCACAGCCCACTTGGTGTTAAGTGGTGGCTGGAGCCCATAGACATCTATAAGGCAAATGTGCCACCCACCTTGAGATATAAGTTCTAAGGTTTCAAGTATAGTTACAACGGCTGCCCCACCCTTCAAACCGAAATGCATTACTGCTTCACGGCAGAAATAGGCAGGGTGGTGGTACCTACCCGCGCGGACCCTCAAGAGGTCCTATCTACCACCAGTAAGAAATGGCTATTGGAGTCAATTATAAAATACATTTTTTTTGTTTCATTAAATTTTTATTACTTAAAACAAAGCTTCTAGAGTCTATATTATTATATACTATCAAAAATCTATCCGTCATTTTAAGAGATTTAATTTGATCCTAAAATGTATGTAATCAAAATTTTTGTTATATTAAACAATTGAACGTTCACTCAGGATTTTAATGTCCCCGAACTTAAGAATCCTGAAGTATTATGCACTTCCCTTTAAAAATTGTTAAAATTTTCCTGCCGGGCATAAGAGGACGGTTTATTTATTGGGCGAAATATAATTGGTGATTAATATTTTTAATATCAAAATTATATTAATTAATAATTAAACAGTTGATCTTTCGATTGGGGACGGTGAAAGCGTGATAATTTTCCTGTCAGACGTGAGGGGGCCGTTTATTTGCTAATATAATTGCTCACTCATGAATAACCGATTCTGAATTTATTTTATGTCCCTTATAGACAACAAAACGGAGACTTATTCGTTTTTGGACATCAACTACGAACATTATGCTGTCGTGTTCGCATGTTACAACAACGACGATGGTAGCAGCACATGTAAGTTAAAGTATTTTTACTGGTGTTTTTTAACGCTGGGGAATCTGGATACCCGGTCGAGGGGGGTAATGGACCGGGCCCTGTCGGAATCCGGCGCCTTCAGAGATTAAGAGCGAGACGACGAGGGCCAAGGTCCCCCAATTCCTAGCAGAAGACTATGGCTTGAAAATGGCGCGGGAGGCACTCGCCCCGCAAAACCGACTACTGACTAAACCTCATCGAGCTCCACCACACCGGTTAGACCAGAGTTCCCCAAACTTTTTTGTGTCGTAGACCCCTTGCTATGTTTTTCCGTGTTGGGTAGACCCCCTACTTACCTAATATTGATTTTCTGTAAATTTCTAACTTTAGTAAAGTTTAGTGTTAAAAACTTAAAGAACACATGTCAATTTATACATTTATTAATTGAATTTAAATTAAAACTAATCAAAATAAAATTTTGTATCTTATGTAAAATATACGTAACATAAAATAAACTATAAATAAAATAACTTAAGCAATAAGTCAATATTTTTAGTGAGAAGGATGAACCTGATGCTTCAATAATAAATTATCAACATTTGGCGTCAATTTTGTAAGGGTTAATCTTAAATCTCCTCGGCTAATGATGTCTTGATATTATAAGATAGTATGATGTGAGTAAATAGGTACTATCAGTGTATGTATTGAGATCCACTATCGTGGACCCCCACTTTTTTTTTCGCTGACGTAGACCCCTTGCAGGTTGTCATAGACCCCTAGGGGTCGATATAGACCACTTTGGGAATCACTGGGTTAGACCAAACATACGCTACCGCTTATTTCTGCCATGAAGCAATCACGCGTTTCAGTCTGAAAGATAGGGCAGGCATTTTACTGTAAAACTGATACTTAGCAAGCTCTTGCCTCAAGGTGGGTTGTGGCCGCGTTGATGATTGCTTAGCTGATGTCTATAGTCTCCGGTAACCGCTTACTACACGCAGTGAAATATCGGGAAATCATAAAAAAATTAAAGGAACATCTATAAGAAACATCTTCAATGAAGGAACATTTATAATAAGCTATCTAATCTAAGGCTGTAATAAGGTTGCTATTTTGATCTTATGCGTTGTGATGGAGTCCTTTCGTCTTAAGTACGTACTTCACAGGATTTGGTGACGTAACTTTACTTGAGCTGCAAGCTCGGCTGCCTATCTATAAAACGTAAGCGAAATACAAACAACAGAAATCGTTGTAGATGAATTTCATTAAGCCCTTCAAACTGCTGAAACAATGAGTTAAGGACTACCCAAAAAAAATTCCGTTGAAACAACTCGAAGTGACAAAACGTTCTGATGCCGAGTCAAGCAATCAATTGGTTGAATGGACAGAGGACGCGGTCGGGCGGAAAGTCATTACTACAATGTTTTCAATCAATTAATTTTGATTGCAGTCTTAGATAATCCGTCATTGCTTCCTCGTGTTCATTAACTTCCTGTTTAATTTTTTGTTTATCGTTTGATTCGTATTATTCACTTACTAGCTTGTGTTCGTGACTCCGTCCGAGTGGAATAGTTACTTTGGTATCGTGCTAAATTTTACCTCCCACTTCATTTACGTAGAAAGTGACAATATTTTTGAGCTATAGACTGTTAAGGAGCTATTTAAGCGTCTATTTTGAAACATTCTTTATTGGTGCTTCACTTGTATTGGTCTTAACGTGATGTTATATAGCCTATAGCCTTCCTCAATAAATAAGCTATTTAATACTGAAATAATTTTTCAAATCGGACCAGTAATTCCTGAGATTAGCGCGTTCAAACAAACAAACAAACTCTTCAGCTTTATAATATTAGTATAGATTAACGGGCCTTAAACGAGTCGGGGAATAATGTTGAACATTACTATTGCGATGGGTTTTACCAAAATTTTTAATTACAACAAGCTCCCGATAGCGTTATTGGTAAGCGCTAGGATTTTTAGATGAGAAAACTAGCTATAATCGAAATAGGGTATACATGTTTGTCTGCTCCTAACCAGTATTTAATTCCTATGTCGATATAGGAATTATTAATTGGCAGAATTAATATCCTACTTGCAATTTTTAGTTTAAGCGCCGACATATCGAGAACTCATTGAAACTAAAAATCGCGGTAAGAATCCATTAAATAATAGTGTTCATAATGTGGATAACAGTAAATGTTCAAAACAATTTATAATGTACTAGAGATCCCTAATTTTTTTCAAAAAATATTATAGCCTATGTCACTCGGGAATAGTGTAGCTTCCAAACAGTGAAAGAATTTTTCAAATCGGTTCAGTAGTTTTGGAGCCTATTAAATACAAACTAACAAACAAATCTTTCCTCTTTATAATATTAGTATAGATAAATCGCTAAAAACTAGAAATCCGTTCGTTCAATATTCCTTAATGACGACAGTATATTTTGGCTTTCAATAAGTTTATAGCCGGAAGACACGATTACCCGAAAACGGCTTCCACGATTATTATTTTTTCTTTCTTATTGCTTAGATTGGTGGACGAGCTCACAGCCCACCTGGTGTTAAGTGGTTACTGGAGCCCATAGACATCCACAACGTAAATGCGCCACCCACCTTGAGATAGAAGTTCTAAGGTCTCAAGTATAGTTACACCAGTGGACCTTTAAGGAGGGCTATCAGGAGGGCATCCTCGTTGTGGTGCTAACAAGTACCATTAATCATCTAAGTGAACTCCACCATCATCATTAAGGCTAGCTAATGAACTTGAGAAAAAAATTGGTTTTTTTCTTCAAAAACATTAAACAATTTTTTTTAAATCTCCAGATGAAATTTGGAAATTAACGCGCACGCCACATCTGAAGGACACGGACGCCGTGAAACTAGACCAGGCTATAGCGAACTACAGTCTCCAGGGAACACCGTTCATCAATTTTAATAATACAGAAGACACTTGCCGGATTAACGCTGGCAGACAGTTGGATGCGTCGACTCTCATAATGACGTCAGCGGCTGCGATCACGTTGCTCAGGCGAATGTTCTAGATGGAATAGCGAATCGGACCGCTCTTAATACTGTTACGCGCTGGGGTTCGGGATAAATAAATGTTCTACCAAAGTACAACTTAAAACTGTATTAGCATTTAGAACACTTCACAAACACTTTAAAATTCTCAATTCGCATCTTCCGCCTCGCTTCAGGTGATCCGTTCGCTCTTTTGCTTCGAGTAGTTCCGATTACTAACTGCATGTCATCTCTACAACGCTTTTATAGTCAAGACGAAATCCCTAGAATCGTCAAGAGTATTCCACACAAGTCGAGTATTGTGTGTTTCCGCTATCTGACAATAGATGGCGTTGTACTTCTTAAGCGTTCTAGACGCTAGAAGATCTTTCTATATTCGTTCGGCTATTCGGCGATAGATGGCGTTACGCTTACCGGCGTAGCAATATGTTGATCGCGCAATAATTAGGCTGGAACGTGACGTCGTTTCTGGTCAAAATAAACTACAGTCTAGCCATAGGGCTTAATTAACTTATTATGATTAGGCACATTTGACATCTTTATTAAGGTTTAATTTGACTGGAATAAATGAATGATCGTCTTTGTATATCTAATTAATACAAGAGTTATTTATTATATACAACTTTATTTGTAGGCTGTGTATAACTTAAATTTGTAGGCATTGATTATTCAGCGCTGGCTAGATTTAAATTGGTTAGTGAAACAGAAAACTTAATGTTTATAGATGCATACTGTGCATACATAATGTTTTTGGCAATAAGTATTATTGGATCCGAATAATGTCTTGTGGACAGCTGGAACGGAATTCAGAGCCCTATCCATAAGTCAGAGTCTAACCTGTAGAAAGTTAGAGCATCAAAATTTTGACCATCAATATTTGGATTAGGTGTAAATCAATTTTAACAGTAATTAACTAAAAGACGGGTGATATTAAATTATTTATTTAAATTTAAAATATTATGAATATTAAAATTAAATTATTTTTAAGCTATAAATGAGTGATTTTATTTATTTTTCAAATGTAAACCTAAAAATGTTTCAATAACAAATGTTTTAAGTTCTCTTCTGCAGAATTATATTGCACTGACATCTAGCGTAACTTTAAAGAACCAAAAAACTTGTTTAAACGGTGGAATCATCTCAGAGCAGTAGTTCAATCTATTGAAATAGATGGCGCTGTTTTACATTTAAAGTCTCCATTGATGTTAATAAATTATAGGAAATTTAATGGTACCACTAACTACCAAATAAAGATAGAAAGTTAACGCAAATACTATTATTTAGAAAGATCAGTGTGCTAAGTGCGAGTTTTTTAACTTTCTCGATAGCGTAAAAAAACAGCGCCCCTAGCGGCAATCGTAGGCAAACGTTCCAACTCCATACAAATTTGAGTTAACTTTTACGCTATCGAGAACGTTAAAAAACTCGCACCAAGCACACTGGTCTTAAAAGTTTTCCTTTATGATGATTCTAGTATCTCCTTGATGATCTTGTTCAAAGGTTCATTTCTATTTGGAATGTATACTCGTTCAGCCTAATTCTCTGTTGAAATGGAAAATTCATGAATTACATAATAATTTTTATAATAAAAAATTGTGGTGTCGTGGGACACCAGGTAGGAACGAAGTTCCTTCGGCTAATGTAGAATCGACCAATTTGCAAAAAAAAAAATCGTGCTCAATTTTATGTTGGTTTTCTTGATTTTTCTCTAAAATTTTGCTGATTAGTTTTTATTTAAGTACAGGAAAGTATTTAGGAAATTCAGTATTTTAGGAAATAATAAATTACGTAAAATAATAAAAATAAAATCGTAATTCAAATTATCAATTAAAATAACAAAATATGTCTCTTTATTTTTGTTTGACAACATAAAATTACATAGAAATAGAAATAATTACAAAAAAGAGAGCGAAGGGATGAGAGAGAACGAAAAGAAAGAGGGAGAAAGAGAAAGGTATATAAGTATATAAGTCGTATACACTACTCGCTTGTGTATACGAGTGTCGCGCCTGCGCACGTCTCATTTAACGGTTTTATTCCACGCACTTTTTTCCACGGATGTTTTCCACGCACTTTTTTCCACGGATTTTTTCTTACGGTTTTACTATCACATTTTTTTCAGTTCGGTCGCGCAGCAAAATCCCTATCCCCTCCAAGCCTGCCGTAAGGAACTTCGTTCCAAAACGCCCAAAACGTGATAGTACTACCATAATTATTAAGAGGCACAAGTAGCACTACTGAAAAGTAATAAAAATTCAACTACCCTCGACTAGTCCAACTACCTCGAATGCGGTTCCTTATAACAGACTTCCGTATCCATAAAGCAGCAAATTTCAAAAGTTTTTCCGAGCTCTTTTATCGACACTAGAGCTTTCAAAGTTGTCCGTTATTACTGTCTCTACTTTACGATTACACCTCTAGCTAACCAAGCAAACTTACCGAGTTAGGTCCTCATTGACTTTTATGTTAGTTTTTACACCAGCGAGCGTCGCTCCGTTTCCCAGCGAAACCACGAATCCTTGACCCAAACTGCTACTTATATCGAAGACTTAAGGTTTGTATTCGATTGAACTTGAAAGTTTAGGTAAGTTTCTATGTTTGGTTAGGAGCTGATTAGTATTATACTTGATAACGTAGTGCTATGCTCTCGGTAATCTTATGTACTAAAGGCATACCTTAGCGGAGATAATGTGACGACGGAAAGTAATTTTTTTTAAAGAATTTTCTGGATCGAATCTAATTTTTTTAAGTGATCTTTGAAGTGGATTGAGGAAATGTTTGGTATCCGATATTATTATTATCCGGTTAGCTACGTCACTTTTAATATAGGACAACGGTTTTATAGTATTTCGGATAGTCTTATATTTCTTGATCTTGAAATTTAGCAGTAGGGTAGGGTACGACCGCTCTGCCTATTTCTGCCGTGAAGCAGTAATGCGTTTCGGTTTGAAGGATGGGGCAGCCGTTGTAACTATACTGAGACCTTAGAGCTTATATCTCAAGGTGGGTGGCGCATTTACGTTGTAGATATCTATGGGTTCCAGTAACCACTTAACACCAGGTGGGCTGTCAGTTCGTCAACTCATCTAAGCAATAAAAAAAAAATTGTCTTGATAGTATTCATTTTTGTTGTCCTATATGAATGGAAGGTATCGCTTGAGCGAATCCTAAAGTACTTGGTACACGTTGCCAGGAAAGACGAAGACGATCTTGAAAAGCTGGTGGTAGCTGAGAAAGCGAAATAAATTATGTAGCAGGACCAGAACCCAATGCGTGGACAAATCCACATCACACTTGATTTTAGGGTCTAAGATGCTCTTTGAGTAGCCAAAGACAGGGTAAGGAAGAACAGGAAAGTCATGGATGGAGGTGCACACGACCCTCAGACGTGAGGAGAGACGACTAGAGGAGCATGCTTATGTTTTAGTTGCTACCGCGTTTTCTTGGGGTTTGAAAGATTTTTTTTGAGTTCGATCGCTTTGTATGGCAGTATGTTATTTGTGGTAGGGCTTCTTGCGAACCCGCAAGGTTGAGTTCCATACCTCGACTTATTGATGCCGAGAAGCAGTACGCATTGTAATTTGAAGGGTTAGATTACACAATTGACGCTTAGACTTCCGTAAACGCTATGATGTTTTTTTTTTTTTTTTGGAGTTTACTCCTTTAGAATCGATTTACATATATAGGCCCGGGGTATGAAAATTATGGGGACCAAAATCGTACTAGCATGTCACACGAAATGCGTTATGCGCCTGATTGGCTCCTGATTGCGTGATGCGTGCGCGCGCCAATCAANGGCGACACGGGAGCGGCAGGCACGACAGAGGCTGCGGTGCTCAATGCAGAAGCTCTGCACGCAGGTACAGGCGACGCAGGAGCAGCGAGCGCGGTGGAGTCCTCGAGAGGGCTCGCAGTGTGATTGGCCTTGAAGGCCAGAAACTCTGAGGCGAGCTGTGGGTGGCGAAGTCGGAGGAATTCCGCGAATACAGCGTCCATGATCGCTGCGTACCCAGGTGGGGCGGCCCCGGGTCTTGAAAAAACTCGCCTTGCGGCGAGGCCCCAACTTCTCGGACCTGAGCGGTTCTATTGAACTCAGGTGGCAATGCGGCGCGATTACTACAGGACAAAGAAAAAGCACAACAAAACAGAAATTACAAAAAGAAACAAAACAAATAAATACTTGCAGGAAAACACTTTGTCGGTAAATGTTCCACGAACACAAAAATAACTAAAACAAAACAAATAAAAGCTTCCAGGAAACACACTTGGTCGGCAGATGTATCACGAACACAGGCCGCGCGAACAATGGCCGGGCTAACAAAAGCCGGGCGAACAAAGACCGGGCGATCGAGTGGACGATGAGCACGTCCGCACGTGACGGGTGCCTCTATCGGAATAGGCTATGATGTCTAGTGGCTTTGGTGAACCGGTATGTCGTCCGCTGGATGCAAGCAGCGCAGTACTGATCGTTGTGGCGAGGCTTGGGGAGGCTTATATTCAGCAGTAGACGTCTGTGTACTGATAGATAGTTAGATAAACAGTGCCGTCTCGTTCACCGGTTAAAACCCCGTTTCTCGAACTATGAAATTCCAAAAGAGATTTGCATGAAAACGTAAAACAAAGTAAACTTTTTTTTTAAAGCTAAAGCGAATGAGAAAAGAATCGAGAAACTTTCATCAAATCCAGTTAATTGAGTAATAGATTATTCTTTTAAATTATCACGATTGTCGGCCATTGTTATATTCTTTTGTTTCAAAAGAAAAATCGTCGCCATTGTGGCGTGATGGCGTCAAATGAGCCTTGAAAATGACTTTTATGGTATTGTTTACTGGCTTTCGTTACAGAGGGAAAGGTTTATGATTCTTTCAGTACATAAGCTAACGTGCGTAATGACGTAGTGGTAATTCTTATGGTGAGTCTAGTAGGTCAAAGTCAAAAGCTCAGAAAGCCAACATCTTATCAGCTGTTCTATAGCGATTTTTGTTTTTTTTTCCTACCTAAACTGATAGTCTTGAGAGACCATATCAGCATCACCAGGCGAGGCTATCACGAAGCC